CAGTACTCCTTCTGCAAATTCAGCTATATCTCCTTTTCAGCACACACACACATTCACTCACACCCTCTCTCATTCCTCCTTCCCATCTCACAGCAAAACTCTGGACAATTATGTCTCATTTTCAGGGGCCAACCCACTCTCATAAGTCACACAGTTTTTCTCAGGCTAGAGATGTCACAGACTAGCCAGTGAGTAACGCTTGGCCATGCATGTAGCTCTTTCCCAGACAGAGAATGACATTGAAATTCAGGACTTAACAGTACCAGCTAGTTGGCCAAACCTTGAGCAGTTGGGGTACATGCAGAAAGAGAATTGCTGCAGAGGGTTATATCTACCAAAGTTGCTTCAGTTCTGACCTTGATTCAGCAAAAAACACCTGAAACTTATATATGTATATTCTCTGCAGGGCAGCTAGTCTGTTCTGAATTTGTTCTGAAATCTAAAATTAGCTGTCTTTGTGACTGAGAATAGTGTTACTTTCCTGTGTCAGTTATGAAAAATATTCTAGTATTATTTCTAATCATCAGAATTATACAACTTAAAAAGAAATCATCTTCCTGACCATCCACAGTTATAAGTGTGCCCAAAGATGTAAAACACATTACCAATGGACCATGGAAGGAACTCCACAGCTGTTCTTTTTAGGGAGGTAAGTGGTGGCACATGAGAAAGTTACAGACAGAAAACAACCGGTTTCCACAGCCAGTGACCCCACAGGCTTTACCTAGTGGGGCTCCCCAATAGAGAGTTATTTGTCCGGTGGGTCAATCTGATAAATACTAATTGTCCCATTACTCCTTCTGCAAATTCAACTACATCTCCTTTTCAGCACACACACACACACACACACACACATTCACTCACACACCCTCTCGCTCCTCCTTCTCACTCCTGCTATATACTACCAAGGCCTCCTTCAATTAGGAGTTCAAGGCCATTCTGGGATCCACGAGATTGATCCAGTCTAAAAGAGGAACAGGGCCAGGTGGTAGTGGTACAAGCCTTTGATCCCAGCACAGGCAGGTGGAGACAGGATCTCAAGCCCATTCAGTCTGAGAATTCAAAGAGACAGGCTGACTCATTTGGTCTGAGATTTCATAGAGGTAAGATGTCTTTGGTGGCCGGCTGCTCTGCTTCTCTGATCTTTCAGCTTTCACCCCCTCCCCACCCCCACCACTTCTGACTCCAGGTTTTGATTTTTTTTTTCTTTGTGGTTTTTCGAGACAGGGTTTCTCTGTGTAGCTTTGCGCCTTTCCTGGATCTCGCTCTGTAGACCAGGCTGGCCTCGAACTCACAGAGATCCGCCTGGCTCTGCCTCCCGAGTCCTGGGATTATAGGCATGCGCCACCACCACCCGTCTTCAGGTTTAATTTAATTCAGGTTTGATTTAATAAGACTAATTAGGATCGTGCTTCACATTCCAACAGCAGTTTACTCTCCCTCCACTCCTCCAAGTTCCTCCCCTCCTCTCTCCTCCAGATCCACTCGTCCTCCATTTCCCCTCAGAAAAGAGCAGACTTCCCAGAAATACAAACTGAACACAGCATAACAAGTTACAATAAGACAAGAGACAAACCCTCATATCAAGGCTGGACAAGGTAACCCAGTAGGAGGAAAAGGGTCCCAAGAGTAGGAAAAAGAGTCAGAGATGCCCCCCACTCCCACTGTTAGGAGTCCTACAAGAACACCAAGCTGACATACATATAGCAGAGGACCTAACTCAGACCCATTCAGTCTCTGTGATTGCCACTTCAGTCTCAGTGAGCCCCTGTGTGGCTTGGGCTTTTGAAACCTCAAAGCCCACTTCCAGTGACACACTTTCTCCAGTAAGGTCTCACATACTTGAACAAATAGTGCTGTTCCCTAAGCATTCAAATATATGAGCCTATGAGAGCCATTCAAAACAGAAGGGAGCTAGAGAAGAGGAAGAGAGCCTCGCCTTTTGAGTTAGGCATGGCAGGCAGTTCAGCAAGCAGCCACATGACAAAAGGAAGGTACTTCATAGAAAATCCCAAGTGCACGAGAGAAGTCGTGTGTAGACTTTGACCGGTTTCTGAAAGGAAGAGATAGAAAAGAAGAAAAAGGAAAAGTTATGCTTTTCTGAATTAGGACTTGGAAAACCTACAGCCTTAGAGAGGCATGGTAGCAGCTTCATAAGGCACTCTTTGAAGTAGGGTTTTTGGGAAGAAAAATTACATTATTTCATTAAGGGAGTAATGACTCTTTCTATCTTGTTAGCACGGCTTTAAGTGAGCCCATTTTCTTGAGGGATGGCCTCTTGGCCAAGTTTGACAGGCCCAGATGGATTCACTAAGTAAAGAGGTAACAGTATGAAATGTTCTAATCTTCAGAGCAGATCAGAATGCCATGTCTCCATTCCAGGCCTGAGGCATTATGTTCTTTTGGTTAGGTCTCAAGAGGTGACAAATCTGAGGTTTATCTTTCTAGTGTTACCAGAGAAATGGAAGAGGGATCCAAAGCTTCAGATGCCTTCATGGCTACTGTAACCACCTCCTCACTGGGGGTAACCCGAAAATCATTTAGGAACCAGACCAGGGATTTGGAGCCCAGAAAAACGTCTGATATTTCTGGCCTCCAGCTAGGACAGGACCAAAGATATTTCTGGATTCTAACCTAGGGAAAAATTGTTCATTTGGGGGTCCTCTTACCCTAAATTCCTACCCTATTTCTATCTTTTGTCCTTATGTTTAACACATTTTCAGGTGAATTATGTTCCTTAAAGTTGCTGAAACAGGCAACTTCCCAAGGGGCATTTTTGTGCCCAAGTTGTTGATTAACTCTTAAAGAAGAGGACAATACCATGTCTTTGTTCATTATAAGCAACCTCTGCTAGATAGTAATCCCATGGCTGTTCAGATTGTCATGCCTCTACCGAAGGCCAGAGGTCAACTCAGGTCCCATTCTTTTTACAACAACAACAACAACAACAACACAGTAATAATAAATAAATTTAAAAATCATGTAACAGAGTAAAGCAAAAATAACTAAAGAAAAAACACAAATCTATGAAATACCCATGCTGTAATAAGAAGAAATAACCTTCCCGTAAGGAACCTCAGGAGAACCCTGCTACCTCCATTTCCCCTCACCCCCTTTCAGATGGTAAATATTAAGGAGAGGTAACTGTGATACTCTTTTTCTTCTTGAAATTAGTGTCACCAGAGCCACAGGAGATGAGGTCCAAGCTGATTATGACAGAGGGTAGTTCCTCAAGTATCCCAAACCTGCTAATGTCTGAATGCTGTGTCATGAGTACACTATGCCAGAAATGTAGACAAAAACATCCATGTCTTTCCACAAGGTCTTCATTTATTGAATAGCAAAAATTCACAGGGTTTTGTGGTTTCAATCGCAGCTATTTGCCAAATATTCATGTTTTCTTCCTTGGTAATCCTTGCTGAGGCAAACACAGACTTATTTTCTAAATCTTATCTTCTACTCTCAGATCATACAATAAATTTGTATATACATCGATTACAGAATGTCTGCAAAGAGCAACAACAGGGTTCAGAGGGTTTCATTGGTATGATAAAAATGCAGTTTGTTTTGATGCTAAACTAAATGCCTGAGCTTTAGGAAAGATGTTGGAGCAGGCTGCTGGGAGTGTCGTTGGTTTAACTGGGAAACTATAGGTGTGAGTTCAGCTGTAGAGGGCGAAGAGTGGAATCTGGGCCCATACGAAGGGATGGATGGATGGTCCAGATGGGAATAGAAAGATGGACAGTTGGAGTTGAGCGTCAACAGTGGTAACTCAGCTGAGTTGAAGCCTCAGGGGCAGTCAGAGGAGTTCTTTGCCTACCAGTTCTGGCCCCCAGGATGGTCAGATGACAGATTTGTGGCGTCATTGCCATCACAGCGCTAGGTGTCTATCTCTTTATGGAGTCCAGGTGAGAAGGCTGCACTCTTCTTGGTTTGATGTGCCCAGTAAGTTCTTGCGCCTGGTTTGCTGATATCATTGTAACAACCCCATGTGCTGTTACAGTTTCAATTTACCCTGATCAATTCATTGGGTGGCACCCTTTCTGCTCCAAGCTATAAGCCATTTGCCGGTGCTTGTGTGAGTGGGGCTGGACACACGATATTATTCACGTGTCCACCCTGGTGCAGGCATTCCCCATCCTCAAAATGGAGTCAAAATCTGCTTTGTATAATGTAGAGCAAGGCTTTAAAAAAACCAAACCGAAACACCCAACTACTTTTACAGAAGATGAAGGGGTTAAAACCTTCCTCTGCCTCCCGAGGGCTGGGATTACGGCTCTGACCTTAGGTTTCTAACTATTCAAAGAGTGGTTAACATAAAAACTGCAACATAACCATGTTATCCTTATCACACCTCTCCTACCAACTTTTTTTTTTTTTTACATAACTTCTATCCGTGGATTTCATTACCTACTGTAGTCTAACTTCTATTGTAAGGTAACGTCCACCATTACGGACATACCCTTTACTACCCGGCCAAGAGAGCACTCTGTTTCTCTTAAAGGCTTCTCTGCACCCGCTGAGGGGCTGCCTGGAGGTAGTGTTTGCTGGAGGGGGAGGCAACCTCTCCACTCCCGTCAGCGACCCCCCCAAGGCTCAAGCTGCAGCTAGCTTTGGTGGGCCTACTTGGCCAACTGCGCGCCCGACTCTACAGTGTGCTTGCTCTTGCCCGTGCCTCGCCGTGGTGCCACGGCGTCCAGGAGAGCGGCGCAACTCCGTGGGCCCGTCCGGTTAGCCGCCCCATTTCCTCCTCCCAGGAGCCGTCCCACTGCCCGCCTTCCTTCGGTGCCCTCGCAGGAAGCGCGCCTCCGCCGACGTCAAGACGTCTGCCCCCCTGGCCCGGCGCTCCGAACGCACAAGGCGTGGTGGGGGAGGGAGGGTTTGCAACGCCGTGCTCTAAGACACACTCCGGTTGGAGAGCGTGTGCACGGCCCGGAGCGGGTTCCCGGATGTCGGCCTCCCGCTGGCCCCGCCCCGCCCCGCCCCGCGCTCGCTCCGCCCTCTGCGCGCCCTGTTCCGTGCCTTGAGGTTGCGGTCAGCGCGAGCCGCTGCAGCGAGTTGGGGCCGTCTGTCCGTGTCGTGAGGCTGCCACCCTCTCCAGCCGCCGCCGACGCATCTCCAGCCGGGACTCCGCCCGCCTCGCTCCGGGTCCAGGCCCCATTGCACCCCGCCCGGCGCCGGACAGCAAGCCGCCGCCGTCGCCGTCGCCGCCGCGTCCCGCGGAACCCACAGCCGCCGCCCGCCGCCAGCGCCGCCCGCCGAGCAAGATGGTGAGACCTCGGCTCCCGGGTCGGGCGAGGGAGGGCCCGGGGCGTCCTCCTCGGTACAAAATAACAGAGGCCTGGCAGCTGCGGATGCCGAGCCCCAAGGTCCACGGCCGCCCGTGCGCCCCCCGGCCCTGCGCGCTCCCCGGGCCTCTGCAAACTGCAAGGCCCTTCCTTGCAAGCCCCCCAGCCCCTGCTCGCCTCCAGGCCTCCGCGCGCCCCCGCCCCCCTGCCCTGCCACCGCCGGCGGTCTCCGCGTCCTCCCCGGCAAGCCCCTGGGCCTCCGCTTGCCCGGAGCCTCGCCGCCCCCGCCCTCCGCCGCCCCTGGGCCGCCGAGCGCCCACAGCGCCGCCGCCCCCGGGCTCTTAAGCCCCTGGGCCTCCACGCAACCCTGGCCCCGCCGCCTGGCTCGGCCTTTGCTGAACCTCTGTCCCACGGGGCTCCCTCTTCTCTCCCCTCCTCCACGTGGAGCCCACTTTCCGCCCCCAGATCGGTTTCCAGGTTGGGGATCCTGAAATCCTGTGGAAATGATAGTGTGCGGCAAATGGCGCTTTATGTAAGACCCACTTCTCCAGAGTTGGGCTTCCTCCCACTCACTCTGCATTTTCCAGCACTGAGCCTTGGCAAGAATCCTTCCACTTCTTGCCTTCGCTCGTTTTCGTATTTATCTCGCTGCTGTTTGCAACCTTAGGGGCTTGCTTTCGCGGCTGCTTTTCTCTGCATTGGTGAACATGAAAGGGCCAGCGTGTATATTGCTTGAGACACGGGGCAGCCCGGCCCTGGAGAAGTACTTATACTGGTTCGTTCGTGTTTTCTTAGTATTTTTAATTCTGTTGCCTTTGTGTGTCCGGTGCTTGGGGCAGTCGTTTTTGAACCATGGCGATTTAAATTTCCCTTTGCTTACTTTCACATTAATCCCTAGGTGGAATTCACCATGTAGTGTTTCTGGCTGACGCTAGGGGTGTGCCTCCTGCCTGTCACCAGGGCCAAGAAATCTATGACGCCTTTAGCTTGTTACCTTACTGGTTCTGTAGCTCCGCTGGCCCCTGTTGTTTTCCTCTTTGCGGTCAAGAATTGTGTTCAGTGGAAAACGTAGCCGCACTGTGCGTGTGTGTCAGTTACACAAACACGACGTTGGATTGTAGCACCCTGTGTAAAAGTCTCTGAATACTTAACCAAGGAATTTCAGACTGATTTGGGGGGGGGTACTTGCACCTTTTAATTGTACATGTGATCCCTTTTAGGTAAGATTCAAATGATTCCAATGTGGATCGGAGAAGGGACTGTTTATTGCAGTTGAAGATCAATTAGGGGGTCGTGACGAGAGAATGAAGTGAAATTAGTCAGCTTTTGTTTGAAGTATAGGGCTTATTGGCATCGTTAGACCTGTGTCAGGAGCAGTTTTAATGACTGCTTCATGGTTTTGGTGTGTAGGATAATTTTTTTTTCCCTCTTAATTTGGGAAGCTGTTTAGATGACTTGGGTTTTTGAAGGTTACAAAACTTAAGTGTTTCCAGACCATTACAGAATATTTAGAAAGATCGTGTCCGTTCATAATACAGTTGCTCTAGTTTGAAGTTAGGAATTGCTCTTGATATTTTTTGTTTGTTTTGAGGCTGTTCTTCTCTGCAGCCTAGGCTGGCCTGGAGCTCATCGATGGCCTGCATGAGTCTCGTCCCTGAGTTGTATACCATCACCCTATATATATCAGAGTAACAGATGAAAAGGCCAAGTTGTTCAAAATAGGCCTCTCTTCCCTTCTCACTTTCATACTTCAAATGGATGCCTTAAGGCAAATATGTGGTTTCTACTTCTTGGCACCGACAACCTGCCAAATTGGGGCGCTTCATAGTAACGGAGTAACTGAAGCTAAGAAATACAACATGATGCCTCAGCAGGTAAAGGCACTGGACCACCTCACCCTGTGGCTTTGGGGGCTTAATGGAACTTTGTACACGTTTCTTTGAAGACCATTGTCCACTGCGGTGATTTTTTAAAAATAACATTTTTAACTTTAACTGTATATATGTGGGGGAAGGGAATGTGTGCAAGAGTACAAGGTGCCTTAGGAAGCTGAAGAGGCTGCCAGAGATCCCCTGGGTTCTGCGAGAGTGCAGTGTGTACTCCTAAGCACTGAGCCGTCTCTGCGGCTCTTTTTTTTTTTTTTTTTTTAATTTTTATTTTAATTTGTATTGCTGGTACTGAAGATTACATCGAGGCCTCTGTGTGTTGCTTGTTCTTTACACAGCTGTTCCCTCGGCCCATCGATTCTTAAGTTCCTTTTCTTCTTTTGACTGTTTTCTAGGCGTTTCCGGTATCTTAAGATGCACTTGATAATGTCTTCCAGGTCATTTTCCTGGTCTTTTCAGCTTTGTTTAAAACTTGACCCATTCACGTTTGCCTCGTTCTCCATCCAGTGCTGCCCTAACATAGGGCTGTCTTGGTGTGATTTGGAAATATCAAGACCATGTGCATAACTTGATTTGGCCATATGGAACACTGATTAACTGAACTATGTTGGGCCTCACAGTGATCTGGTTAATTTCCTAAGTTGAGCCCACATTTCTCGGAAAACTTCTCACCTTTAGAAAATCTCTCAAGTCTTAGTGGGTACCGCGGAATTGTTACATTTTCATAATAGGTTTTATAGTTTTAAGTTGTTGAAACTGACTAATGTAAATTAGAAAGCAAAAGGGTTTGAATTTCTTACAGAATTTTGTGTGTGTGTATGTTTGTGTGCTCCGATGCCTGTGCACATGTGTCTGCACGTGTGCCCGCTCTCGTGCTTGTGGAGGCCAGGGGTGGGTTTTGGGTACCTTCCTCAGGTGCTCACCACCTTATTTTTGGGAGACAGGCTCCCTCACTGACCCTGGAACTCCCTGATTGATCTGTGCTGGCTAGTGAACTCGAGGGACTCCTGTCTGCCTCCCCAACACTAGCGTTACAGGTGTGTTCTACCCCACCTGGCTTTTTATGTGAGTGCCGCAGAGGTCAGAACTCGGGACCCCAGGCTTGTGTGCTAAGCACACTTATTGACTGTTCCCCAGCCCTCTTAAGGCTCATTTCTGACGAGTGTTTTATTTGCTGCTTTAAAAGCAGTTAATTTCAGCCTGGCATGGTGGCACACACCGTTAAGCCCGGTACTTGGGAGCCCGAGGCTGACTGACGTTACTTCGAGGCCAGACTGGTCTACCTGGCAGCTTCCAGGCAGTGGGGCTGTAGTGAACCCCACTCAATCCACTACTCATAGTCTGTCCCTGCCCTCACGCTATTTGCATTGAAAACGGTTAAGCATTGAGAATGATGTAGGTTAGGTGTATTATAAGATCTGTGAGTTTAGAGCAGCTCAGAACTTTTCCTGAATTCAGGTTGTTTGTATCTTTGGATTTGGGCTGTTGAGACATCCCAGTGGGTATAGGTGCTTTCCCCCCAAGCTTCAAGACCTGAGTTTGATCTCACACCCACATGGTATGAGAGAACTGATACCTGGAAGTTGTCTTTGGACTGGCAACGCAACTCCTACCCCACCGTACATACAAATAATCAAAATCGGTGCTGTGGGTTTTGTTGTGAAGATAGATGTGTGTGTGTGTGTGTGTGTGTGTGTGTGTGTGTGTGTGTGTGTGCATTGCCTTTTTTTGTTTGTTTGTTTGGTTTTGTTGTTGTTGTTGTTGTTTTTCAAAACAGGGTTTCTCTGTTTAGTCCTTGCTGTCCTGGAACTCACTTTGTAGAACAGGCTGGCTTTGAGCTCAGAGATCTGCCTGCCTCTGCCTCCCAAGAGCTGGGATTAAAGACTGTCCGGCTGCATTGCCTTAAGTTTTAAGACAATTTTAAATTTCAAAGAGATTTATTTCTTAGTCATTTTTAGCTTTTCACTTAAAGTTTCCATTTTCACAAACGTGTGTGTGTGTGTGTGTGTGTGTGTGTGTACACCTATTTTATTGCCAGTAGAGTTAAAATTGATCTAAGTTTGGAGGAGACAGTGTCCCCTCTCAGTATGTCCGATAGTGGATGAGAAACTTAAAATGCATCAGTCAGTAATGAGAGGGATGAGCAGTATGGAAGAAGGAAATAATCTATTACAGACAGGAAAGCAGGATGAATATGTCAGGTTGGGCTAGGAGAATTAAGCAAGGCTGCCTGGGGACCTCAGTCTGGGTAAAGCAACGGATTCATTCATAACAACGAATATTTGTAGACTCTGTTGGTCACTGCTTACTGTCTGTTCTCTGTGTTGTAGAAGATATTAAAATAAGTTTTCTTGCCTCGTGTAAGGAAACATAAGACAAATGTCAGTGGTTGTGAAATAACGTGATGTATGGTGTGAATAATATAAACAAAGCCTGGAAGAAACTGAGCAAAGAACACAGTGAATTGGAAATTAGAGAAAGCTTTGTGAAGTAGAGGATTGTGCTAGGTCTAAAAAGATTACTAGGCCTGCAGAAGGGAGATGTGAGAACACCTAGGAGCCAATGAAGATGTCCCGTAGCCTGAAGGTGGGAAGAGAGTAGGTATTTCGATAGTGATTCTGAGACGTGGTTCCGAGACCAGCAGGCTCACTGTCATCTGGAAGTTTGGTGTGTCCTAGGACAGCCTGGAGGGAGCCAAGCCCTTCAGTTTTTGTAGATATTCAGGTGATCATGAAGTGATGCTAAAATTTAAGAGCCACTGCTTGGAGACTGTTACTTATCTAAATGATAATCGGGTCTGATAATCTACTTAGCACTAACAATGTAAATGTTGAAGACATGATTATTATCTCTAAGCAGAGTCAGAGTGGGTGAGCTGGCAGTGATTATGGAGTATGGTGTGTACTTTCAGCAGACTTCAGTTAGGATGCTGTAAGAGTGAGTGGGGGAACAAGGAACTCAGACTGGGGTGGGAGTCAAGTCATTGGGGAGGGGTACTCCACATAGGAAGCTATGTTCACAGTCATAGAAACACATTCAGAAGTGGAAAGTACAGAAGGACCCTAACATGGGTTACTCTTAGGATATGTTCAGTAG